CAAGATTTGACGGTACATGGCCCCGTCCATCGTCCCTTTGATGCGGTGAAGTTGTCCTGTCCCCTTAGCAGAAAAACACCCCCAAAGCATAATGTTTCCACCTCCCTGTTTGATGGTGGGGATGGTGTTCTTGGGGTCATAGGCAGCATTCCTCCTCCTCCAAACACGGCGAGTTGAGTTGATGCCAAAGAGCTCCATTTTGGTCTCATCTGACCACAACACTTTCACCCAGTTGTCCTCTGAACCATTCAGATGTTCATTGGCAAACTTCAGATGGGCATGTATATGTGCTTTCTTGAGCAGGGGGACCTTGTGGGCGCTGCAGGATTTCAGTCATTCACGGCGTAGTGTGTTACCAATTGTTTTCTTGGTGACTATGGTCCCAGCTGCCTTGAGATCATTGACAAGATCCTCCCGTGTAGTTCTGGGCTGATTCCTCACCGTTCTCATGATCATTGCAACTCCACGAGGTGAGATCTTGCATGGAGCCCCACGCCGAGGGAGATTGACAGTTATTTTGTGTTTCTTCCATTTGCCAATAATCGCACCAACTGTTGTCACCTTCTCACCAAGCAGCTTGGCAATGGTCTTGTAGCCCATTCCAGCCTTGTATAGATCTACAATCTTGTCCCTCTTTGGTCTTGGACATGGTGGAGAGTTTGGAATCTGATTGATTGATTGCTTCTGTGGACAGGTGTCTTTTATACAGGTAATACGCTGAAATTAGGAGCACTCCCTTTAAGAGTGTGCTCCTAATCTCAGCTCGTTACCTGTATAAAAGAAACCTGGGAGCCAGAATCTTTCTGATTGAGAGGGGGTCAAATACTTATTTCCCTCATTAAAATGCAAATCAATTTATAACGTTTTTGACAGGCGTTTTTATGAATTTTGTTTGTTGTTATTCTGTCTCTCACTGTTCAAATAAACCTACCATTAAAATTATAGACTGATCATTTCTTTGTCAATGGGCAAACGTACAAAATCAGCAGGGGATCAAATACTTTTTTCCCTCACTGTATCTCAGTGGGCCTTACCTGGTAAAATACAAAAAAAAATATTTTAGACAACCCAGTAAAACGTGGAGAGCTTGGGCCAAGGTTGACCCAAGGTTGATTCAGTGGTTCCAACCGCGTGGCAATGTTTGGCCCAACATTTCCATGTTTACTGGGGAAAAGTGTGGTCGAATGACCCGCCGTGACCCGCACGGCATAGATCGTGGTGGGGGGAGGGGTGTCATCCAGCAGTGGATTAATACAACGGGCTGTGCGCAGATGGGTACAGCAGGGGGGGGGGGGGTCGGGGGTGGTGTGGGGGGTTCGTGCCAGGCATGACGGTGAACTGTCTCTTTCGCTGACCATGCAAAAAAAAAAGAGATTGGCTACGCTGAGCCTCTGTGGATGATGATGATGAGGAGGATGATGAGGTGAGGGGGAGGGGGGCGAACAAAACGCAGGGGGTTTCGGACCGCGCAGGCTGGGTTAAGTCAATATTACGACAACGAAAGGACAAACAGAGTTGGCTTCAGTGCATCGGCGCATACGCGACGGGTCTATGTGGTTATTCATTAAGCCCTCGGCGCAACGTCACGTGCACACAGGACCAGAAGTGCCACGTGTGTCCGTGCCCCCGTGCGCGCGCGAATGCCGCCCGCCCCGCCCCTCCACCAGTGTTCTTCACTCATTGTCAGGGGGGGGGGGGGGGTGGGGGGAGGTGCCACTATCGCCGACGATAAGACACCATCAGTGTGAGTGAGGGGCCGCCACACATTCAGTGTGGTGTGTAGCGTGGTGTATATTGTAGTGCGTAGTGTAGTGTGTAGCGTAGTGCACAGTGTAGTGTGTAGCATAGTGTAGTGTGTAGCGCGGTGTATAGTGTAGTGTACGGTGTGGTGTGTAGCGTAGTGTATAGTGTAATGTACGGTGTAGTGTATAGTAGTGTATAGTGTAGTGTACGGTGTGGTGTGTAGCGTGGTGTATATTGTAGTGCGTAGTGTAGTGTGTAGCGTAGTGCACAGTGTAGTGTGTAGCATAGTGTAGTGTGTAGCGTGGTGTATAGTGTAGTGTACGGTGTGGTGTGTAGCGTAGTGTATAGTGTAATGTACGGTGTAGTGTATAGTAGTGTATAGTGTAGTGTACGGTGTGGTGTGTAGCGTGGTGTATATTGTAGTGGGTAGTGTAGTGTGTAGCGTAGTGCACAGTGTAGTGTGTAGCATAGTGTAGTGTGTAGCGTGGTGTATAGTGTAGTGTACGGTGTGGTGTGTAGCGTAGTGTATAGTGTAATGTACGGTGTAGTGTATAGTAGTGTATAGTGTAGTGTACGGTGTGGTGTGTAGCGTGGTGTATATTGTAGTGCGTAGTGTAGTGTGTAGCGTAGTGCACAGTGTAGTGTGTAGCATAGTGTAGTGTGTAGCGCGGTGTATAGTGTAGTGTACGGTGTGGTGTGTAGCGTAGTGTATAGTGTAATGTACGGTGTAGTGTATAGTAGTGTATAGTGTAGTGTACGGTGTGGTGTGTAGCGTGGTGTATATTGTAGTGCGTAGTGTAGTGTGTAGCGTAGTGCACAGTGTAGTGTGTAGCATAGTGTAGTGTGTAGCGTGGTGTATAGTGTAGTGTACGGTGTGGTGTGTAGCGTAGTGTATAGTGTAGTGTACGGTGTGGTGTGTAGCGTAGTGTATAGTGTAGTGTATGGTGTGGTGTGTAGCGTAGTGTATAGTGTAGTGTACGGTGTAGTGTATAGTAGTGTATAGTGTAGTGTACGGTGTGGTGTGTAGCGTGGTGTATATTGTAGTGGGTAGTGTAGTGTGTAGCGTAGTGCACAGTGTAGTGTGTAGCATAGTGTAGTGTGTAGCGTGGTGTATAGTGTAGTGTACGGTGTGGTGTGTAGCGTAGTGTATAGTGTAATGTACGGTGTAGTGTATAGTAGTGTATAGTGTAGTGTACGGTGTGGTGTGTAGCGTGGTGTATATTGTAGTGCGTAGTGTAGTGTGTAGCGTAGTGCACAGTGTAGTGTGTAGCATAGTGTAGTGTGTAGCGTGGTGTATAGTGTAGTGTATGGTGTGGTGTGGTGTGTAGCGTGGTGTATATTGTAGTGTGTAGCGTAGTGCACAGTGTAGTGTACGGTGTGGTGTGTAGCGTAGTGTATAGTGTAGTGTACGGTGTGGTGTGTAGCGTAGTGTCTAGTGTAGTGTACGGTGTGGTGTGTAGCGTAGTGTATAGTGTAATGTACAGTGTAGTGTATAGTAGTGTATAGTGTAGTGTACGGTGTGGTGTGTAGCGTGGTGTATAGTGTAGTGTATAGTAGTGTAGTGTATACTGTAGTATACGGTGTTGGTGTGTAGCGTAGTGTATAGTGTAGTGTATAGTGTAGTGTATAGTAGTGTAGTGCATAGTGTAGTGCACAATGTGGTGTGTAGCGTAGTGCATAGTGTAGTGTACGGTGTGGTGTGTAGCGTAGTGCATAGTGTAGTGCAGTGTTCTTCACCCATTTTCAGAGAGGGGGGGTACCACTTTTGGCAGATAAGACATCGTCAGTGTGCGGGCAGCCACACATTTGAAACCATTGTTTGGAGTTTTACAACAGCACGAGGATGATGGTGGGGGTTGGTGTTGTCACTCTTTGTGTCTTGTGTCGGGGTGGCCGTACGTCAGGGGCCGCACTAAAGGCCACCAGGAGGGCCGCCAGTGGTACAGCGAGGCCTTGCCATGAAGCACGCTGTTCTACGCGCTGCTACTGCTGCTAACTTGCCACTTATTGTGTTATTTTATTTGTTATTTTATTTTATCAATTTATTATTTTATTATCATTCTACGTGACTTTACCGAAAGAACCAAAGAAGATAACTTGCCACTGTTCAATTTTTGATTGAAAGCTTTCGTGACTGCGGGGATTCATATTCTCACGACGTTTCGACTGCAACACTGTGTTGCAGTCGAAACGTCGTGAGAATTGTATTGTTTTATATTTTTATTATTTTATTGTTTCCCTTCTACGTGACTTTACCGAAAGAACCAATAATATATTTGCCACTGTTTGTGAAGGGCATGTTCCTCCACGTGTTCATATTACACACGTCTATTCATTTCCTTCTTCTGCGTTCTCGAGTCTCCCCCTCCCCACTGCCCCGCACGTGTTTAGTTTTGTTGTCCTTACCCCCGTACCTCGGATGAGCACGGTTGGCTAGTGTACGGTGCGAAAGAAGTTCAGCATACAATACGAGAGGCTGTGCATAAAGACAGGCCGTGCTCCGTGAACGAACTCGTGCGTGCGTGTGTGTGTTGGTGCCTACGATCCATCCTGGGTTTAACCTGGGTGTATTTGTGTGAGGAGCTCACAAATCCTTGAAAGAGCTGGACACAGTTCCATCGGTGAGCTCCTCCGGCAGGCAAGGCTGTGTTGGCTGGGTCATGTAGCCCGCAAGCCCAGCCACCGCATGCCGAAAGAGCTTTTGTTCGGCCTGATCGAGGGGGCTAAACAGGTGCGGCACAGGCTAGAGAAGAGATGGAGTGATGTGGTACAGGAGGACGTGGAGCTGAGTGGACTTGCCGATGACTGGTACCAGCGGTGTCAAGATCGGCCTCTGTGGAGGAGGCTCATGAAGGACGCTACTGGGCAGTTGGAGGCAGTCGCCCTCCAGCAACAACGGAGGGCAGAGGAACGACGCTCACAACAACGAGCGCAGCGCCGGGCGGATAAAGCACAGCAAGTTGGCACAGTAGGGGACACAGGTGGTGCATCGGCCTGTCCATCTCAGTCAGTCAGTCGACCCGTGGCACCTGCTGGGTCTGCTGTCCCGTGACCTCCTGCCAGCGGGCGTTCGACCCTTCACGCGGCCTCAACGCGAACAGGCGCCGTGGTGATGTCACCGCCACTTAGCGGCGAATGGCCGCTGGTCGTTGTTGTTGTTGCTTCTGCTGCTGCTGTTGTTGTTGATTGTTGTTGACTGTTGTTCGTGCGCGCGGTGGGTGACATCATCATCCCTGTCTCCGTCTCTCTCGGTGCAGTGCGACCGAGCGGGCACCGGGGCGGGCTGGGCCGGCGTGCGGGCGGCATCGTGGAGGAGTGCTGCTTCCGCTCCTGCTCGCTCATGCAGCTGGAGCAGTACTGCGCGCGGCCCACGCGCTCCGCCAAGCACGAGCGCGACGTGCACGCGGTGAGGAGCACGCACGCAAAGGCAAAGATAAACATACCCCCCCCCCGGATAGCCTTCGCGATCTGTTGGTGGGGGGGAGGGGGGCAAGTGCTTTCTGGCGAGCGCCCCTGTGGAGGCCGGCAGTGAGGTGATCTGTCGTTAGCGAGCTCCTCTTCTGGAACCAACGAGATCTTCTTGAGTCCAACACGCCATAGAATCGTATCACCAAAACCTTCCCTGGGCCCCACCCAACGTCTGATGCTCGCCCACCGCACCAGGGACTTGGCAATTCTGCTGAATTGACCTGAGAGGGAGGTGCAGGTGAGGTCCAGGTGTAACCGGTGTGAATGGGTAGAAATTAACGTCATGTTAAGTTCCAGGATCTTAGCAGGATGCTAATACTCGTCGAGAACCCACACTCGCAAGCAAGCAAATACACAAAGGTAAAGATCCCCCCGATATAGCCTTAATGATCTGTTGGGGCAAGCGCTTTTTGGTGAGCCCCGATTGGTGAGCACCTCCAATTTGGCTACGTACGGTGCGGAAGAAGTTCAACATGCGTACTAAGACGAACGAGATCGTCTGATGAGGCAGATATTCTGTGTGGTATGGGAAACTGAAGACTTGTCCGGCAGAAGGCAGGTGACACCTTTGCTCCGTCAGTCCCAACTGCACACGGACGAGTAATTTCATTTATTTCTTATCGATCTTGATTTGAAGCTTTTCGTGACTGCAGGAATCCATACTCTTTGGTTCTTTCGGTAAAGTCACGTCGGTATAAAATTAATAGATCACGACGTTACGGTCGCAACACAATCGACCGTCTTCAGGTGAGAGTGGAAGACGTCGTGATCTATAAATTTTCCATCTACGTGACTTTACCGAAATAACCAAAGAGTATTGTTTCTTATCACGTGACTAAGCAAGTCCACTTCAGCGCTAGAGTCCACAAGAAGGCCATTCAGATGCATTTTTTGTGACAGCTATTTGTTTTCTTACTTAAATATGAAATGTGAAAAGTATTGTTTCATAGCATTGCCATCATCATCATCATCGAATGTTTCACGTCGTTACCCGTCAAAAATATTCAACCCAACATTTTTTGTTCAAAAAAAAAGTTTTAAATTCCATCTTTCGTTGCGAGAATTGTCCACTCAGCAGTGTCAGGGACAAGTAACAACGGGGTGAGTCAATGATCGGCAAGGCCTCGTGCGGTTTCAGCAAAACGTGATTACTCCGCACCTCCTGCGGCCAGCGTGGAAGAGTAGACCAAAGTCCACCTCTCTCGGCGGCGGGCGGGCGGGCGGGCGGGGGGGGGTGGGTGCTCTCTAGGGCCACCAGCGGTGAGCGTCGAGTGGGCCTCCACCTGCTCAAATAAAAAACAGCTCACGGTTGAACTTGTGCGCAGCGCAGTTTACGCCACTTGTGTTGTGACCGCGCGTTACGTCCGCGTGTCACCCGGCAGGACTTCCTGACGAGCCCTCTCACGGCGCACTACGTGTGGTCGCGGAAGGACTCTGCTGCTGCACGTTTCGTTACTCCTCAGCAGCAGCAGCAGCAGCCGCAGCAGCCGCAGCAGCAGCCGCACCATCGCGACGACTCCCAAGGAAAGCGTTCCGAGGGCGTAGCGGATGACGTTACGCACCGGCCACTCATGACTCTGCCCAGTACGCCGTAAAAAAAAAAAAAAAAAAACCCCCACAAAATACGTTTAAGTAAAAACAAAAAAAATGTTCTTTCGGGAAAACACAAAACAACAACAACAAACGTAAATAAATAAATAAAAATAGCAGAAATCCTAAGAACGTCCTCCGCTGTTTTTCGGCCCACCATGTGGGTAAGCGGCTTCTCGTGGAGTCACGCGGAGAGGAGGTCGAGGGGGTGGGGGGCTGGGCTGGGCTGGGCTGGCGGGCACGTGTGGGGGTGTCCGTGCCGCACGGAGGAGGCCGTCGGCTTCCCGACGTCGGAGAACGCCGATCGACCACCGACGCCCGACCGATGTTTCTCCTGGAAAATGGACAATTTCGATTGGGGCGGGTGGAGCGTGACGAAGGAAGGAAGAAGAAGGAGCAGGAGGAGCAGGAGGAGCAGGAGCAGGAGGAGGAGGTTCGCACTGGGAAATGGAACCACCCGGGTCGGATCGACATTACAATGAACTCCCTGCTCCGCTCGCCCCTCCCGCCCTGCTCGCCTGCCTGTCTGCCTGCCTGCCTGCCGCGGCCCGTCGCGCGCGACCTGTTAGCGCCAGCCACAGCTGCTGCATCTCCTTCGAAAGAGGTGGAGGGAGGCGGGGGGGAGGCGGCTGTGGGTGGGAGGTGGGTGGGTCGGGGGGGGGGGGAAACTTGAATTAGTTGGTTTTTTTGTTTTTTAATTATTATACGTCTTATTTTATTTTTTCACAAAAAACAAAAAAACCAAGAAAAATACGAGGGAGAGAACATCGCCGTCGCGAGACGCGATCCGCGCCCTCCGCGGACGCGTGCGTCAAACTGCGTTTTGCGTCGCGTTCGTTCGCTCGTCCGCGTGCTCCTGCGCGCTCGATCGCGCTCCTGGGCGCGTTAGGCTGCCCCGTCGATGCTCGCCAACACGGCGGCGCGTTCTCGCTCACTAACGGACGGCAAAAAATGAAGCAAAAAAGGAGGGATGGGGATGGGAAAAGCGAGCTTCGAATTGTTAAACAATTATTACACGAATTTTTGACGGGAACGAAATTGTCCGCAATCGAGGCTTTCGGGGGATAGATCGCGTAAAAAAATATAAATGCGTCGTTAAAACCCGCCGCCACCCGGCACAGCCAATTGGCAAGGTTTCTTAACGTCAACAACACGTGCCGATTCTTCCGGCATGTTTAGTTTCACGTGAAGAACCTTACCAATTTGGCTGTGCGTCGGGTGGCGGCGCGTGTTTAACGACGCATTTCATCATTTCACCGATCCGACCCCAAGTGCCTCCTCTGCCGAACGATATTTTGGGCGGTCGCGTAAAGCCCCGCCCACCGCGTGCTAGCACCGAAATGAAATTGGCGCCTCCGCGTTTCACGCTCGGCTCCCCGTGGCAGATGCACCGCGTGCGCTTTGGAGTCGACACCCCCCCCCAAAACCCAAATCCGTGCCTCTCGCTCGCTCTCTCGCTCGCTCGCCCCCTGTCCCCGTCTCCTGGCTGCGACACGCACGGACGTGCTGCCCTTCCGCTGCTTTGATGCGGTTGAGGCCAAGCACGGTTTGTGTCGGGACTAAAAAAGTTATCCGTAAGAGGCGGGCGGCGGGGGGGGGTGGGGGGAGTCGCTCTGGCGGAGTCAAGAAGCATTGCTAGTGATGACATTCATTAAGCGCTCGCTCTCTCTCTCTCTGTGCTTTAAATCGTTTCGATAATTCGTTTTCCGATTCATAGCCCGAGTGAGAGGAGCCCATTTGACGACATCGTCTCTTTTGGCAAGCGAGAAAGATCGAGGCTCGCTATCACGTGTGCTTTCTAAGAATGCGGCGATTTAAAACACGTTATTTTATATATATATAAACTACGAACGAGCCTCTTGTGTGTTGCAGCGAGATGTGTTCGTGTTTAACGATTGAAGAAAGAGCTGCGATTTGGATTTTAACGAAGCGGGGGTGGGGTGGGGTGGGTGGGGTGCGGTGGGGTGGGGTGGGGGAGTTAATGACCATTTCACTTTTTTGTCTAGTCGGGGACGAGTCGAACTTAATTTTAGTTTTGTTTTTTTAAACTGCCACTTTAAATTTTATTATCGTGCAAATCGTTGTGCTCCTCAGCAATCGACGGTGATGGGCGCCGTGAGTTCCAATTTTGTTTTTGCTACTTGAAACTTGAAAAAAAATATGACAAGGGCTGAGTACTGTTTCTTTTTGTCTTATTTTTAGGGGGGGGGGTGGTTAGACGTATTGCTCACGACGAGTGTGGAGGAGGAGGAGGCGGGGAAGCTACTTGGGTGCACTATGTTATAAAAAAATAAGACCCCAAAATATTCTGCAATGCACGCGCACACAACGTCTTATTTATTCTGCCGTTTGTCATGAGAATAAAGGGTATTTGTGTGAATCTTGACAATATGTGAAAGAATTGGAGTTCTTAAAGGGGATGATTTTTCGGGGGGGGATTTTTTTCGTTCAAAGGAATACCAAATGTGTGTAGCGTACCACCGCTGCGATGGCGCGTTCTCATACCCTTGGTATTATGCTCGCGCGCACGTTTGCGTGTGTGCGTGTACGCGTGTGTGTGAGCAATGCGTGTGTCTGCACGCGTTGGGAGCGGTAGTGCAGCGGGGTCCGCGCTCCGCTGAGAAACCCGACGACGTGAGTTCGATTCCCGCTCGTGGCCAACACCAGCGACGATTATTCTGAACTGGTCCTCTGGGCCTCCCCTAGGTAGGCTCAGCCTCAAATGAGTACCTGGTTCGGTGTGTAAAACATCGCCACTATGGAGACAAATGCGGCCGGGCGTGGTGTTGGCCACCCACCCCCTCGTGATGCCGTACCGGCCTTCATAGGTGCTCGCTAACGGCGCTCGCCCCAACAGTCTGTTGTTACAGGCTCTACGGGGGATCTTTGTCTTTGTGTGTGCAAGCGCGCGTGTACACATGAACACACACGTGTAAAACATGAAATGGTGCATAGTGGGCTTCCGTACGCGCCTCCGATCAGCACGGTTGGCTGCGCACGGTGCGGAAGAAGTCCACCGCGAGAAATTCGTTTCCGCGTACGGTGGGGTTTCTCGATGCCTCATACCTCGATTCCCCCACCATCCCCCACGCGTGCAATGCGTTAACGGCAGCTTCGTTAATTTTGTATTCGAGTGGAGAATATTGGGGAGGGTGCGAGGCCCCCCCCACCCCTCTCCCGCCTTTGGCGAATGTCGGGGCCGTTGCAGACAAGGGGCCAAGAGGGGTGGCGCTTGAGAAAGTGTTATCTTGCACGTGTGCGCGTGCGTATACATGGTGTGTGTGTGCGCGCGCGTGCATGTACTCGCTGCGAGAGTGCACATTTGCAGGCTCTCTATGTGTATATATTGGTAAGTCGCGGTGGCTTGTCGAGATTTTTGGTTTCTCGGTGCATTTATCCACCACTGGGTGGTGCTTCCGCGGATTTATACCGACCCTGCACCGGTTCGCGGTGCGTGCCGTGGATAATACGTAGTCAGCACGCTCGCCGTCCCGGCGCTCGCGCGCATTGGAGAAGAGTTGGATGCGTTCGTCCGCTTTGTCAGCGTCAACACTCGCGTGAAGCGAAGGCGCAAGATCGCGCATTTGTTTTTTTACGCACGGAGTTGCCATTTACCCCTGGACGGACAGACTACACTGCGGGGGTGGGGGGGTGGGGGGTGGGGGGGTGGGGGGAGGGCACCCTCCACCCAGCGCCGATGACGACCGCGCTGCCTCGCGTTGCGGTCACAACTTCGCCGGTTGCGATCTCCGTACTCCCCCGATGGAAAGCAACGGTGTGGGGCCGGGGGAGGGGAGCCGGCGAGGGAAAAGTGGGGGAATCCTGCGTTCCGCTCTGTGGCCACATTCCGCTCGCCCCTGTGGTCCGCCTGCAGTGTGTCGTCACGGTGGCTAGGAGATGTTAACTACCTCGCCTGGTATATACAGGAGGTCGCGGGCTCGATCCCGACCCTGACGCCTGCTGTGTATTTGGAGGTTGCGTGCTCTCGCTCCCCCGTGGTCGCGTGGATTTTTCTCCGGGTCCTCCTGGTTTCCCACCCCCCCCCCTCCCCCCCCCGTCCACGTTCAGAATCGACGTCGCGCGTTCGGAGCAAATTTGTCCGGCTTGACATTTTTACCACGCGGCAGATTAAGGCACTTCGCTGAGCCGTCCTCTGCGATAGCCAGGTCACTTCCGAAAGAAGAAAAAAAGGGGGGCTACTATAGAGCAGCTCAGTGATCAGTGGCGGCTTGCACCTGGTCGATTTAATATGGCGGTACCCTGGGGTACGAAATAATGCAAAATTGGCCGAGGCAATTACATTTTTTTATTTCCGAGACACTATTTTTTTTCCAGGGGTCTTACTTACCTCCGCGAACTGGGGGTAACCAATCGATCCGAAATCAGTGCCACTCCGCGATGTCGAAACGCCAAACATCAGCATAACAACATCCGTTATCGAAAAATTAAACTCTGAATAGTGCATCGTGTACAGCTCGTTGAGATGAGTCGATTGCCCCATCGCCGACCATCAACAGACTAAAAATGACTGCATCACGGACATTCTGCGTGAGCCGGCGTACTATGGTACCCCGGGGTTCCGCCAAAAGGTTAATTTGACCGAACTGGCAGCAGCAGCAACACGTGGACCAGTTTCGTTCTCATTATGACTCACCAGGACTCGCCAGCGAAGCTCGCCGCTACCAAGCCTACCGCTGAAAAACACGCAACGTGGAGTCGCCACTTCCACGTTATTGGGGCCCGTTAAGCTTGGCCAAAAGCAACATTATCGGTATTTCCCGTCATTTTGAAGCGGCCGCGGAAAAAAAAGGAAGTGGCCGGACACGAGCCACTGTTCACGCTGTTCACGCCGCTCGGCATTCTCTCTCTCTGTCGCTCTCTTGTTTTTTTACGATCAGAGGAAACGAGAAGATGCTCGGTGTAGTCGGCACTTTGCTTCGTTCATCATTTCGTTTTTTTTTAATGCTTTGCTTTATGTCACCCCCCCCCCCCCCTTTTTTAAATGAAAGAT